GCGGCACCCTTCCCTGAAGGCCGATGCACTTGTCCGGCGACCGCTCGGCGGTGGTCTGCTCGGATGCGGCTACTCGATCGCCGTTCTGTGGCTATGAACGGCGCCCGCACCCGGGCTGAACCCGGCAATGATGCCAGTGCCACCGACCCCTATCGCAGGTGAATCGTATTTCAATCAGGTTGAGTGCGGCGAATCTTTAAAGAAGAGACGGCAGACTGATAAGTGATAAAGGTGATTGGCAAAAATCAGTATCATCCCAGCGTTGATCTAGCCACCTCTCTACCATGAGCTGCCCCCACTACCTGTGCACCACCTTACCACACGGAATAAAGCAGTGTCAAAAGTGCTCTTGTGGGAAAGGTTTGGATGTAGGCTACCGTAAAACGTTTCGAAACTATCAATTAGATTTGAAACCAACTGCTTAGGGATTTTTGGTGAAATGACATCACTAGAAACCTTGGTTTTCCTAATTGAATAGTTGTCGCCTCATTCTCACGAGATTTTTGCATTTCCATCAGACCGTATTTCCACTGGGTGAATCTCGCCTTCATATAATATTCTTCTGTATACCGTATTAAATTTGAGTCGAGAAGGGACTCAAAGGAGCTCTGCGTCCTTTCATATGCTGCAGGTCCTCGAGCATAACAGCGGACGATTTTGATGTCACATCTGTTGATCACAAAGCATCGATCGTCCAGCTGAGGCTCTTAAATCGTTATGCTTACGAAGTACAATGGCAGTCCATTTCACCCATTGCCTCCACCAGTTGCCCGCCTTGCTGATCCTCTCCCCTACTCGAAGTGACTTAAGCACTACCTAGCTGGCGGCCATCCATCGGTACAGAACTTTCTGATTTCCAGAATTCGATTACTGGTATGCCACTGACCAGTAATCGAATTCTGGAAACCTTTGACACTGACAACCACTGACAAGATGCTCCAAATTGATTCAGTGGTAGCGAAAATTACCTTACGGTGAACGTCTTCAAAGCCATGACAAACAGTTTTGAAAGAAACCTCTCAAAAATTCCTTTATGAACTTTAAACCGACTAATGGTGGCATACTTGTATACAGACATAACCTTGTTGATTAGGCACGATATATGAGACAAAGGGGTTCCTATGAAAAACTCTGAGCTTTATGTAAATACACGAAGTCTATGTACAGAAAAGGCAGTAGCTATTTTGAAGAAAAAACATGACAAACTCCAAATACCTAGGCTCAATGTAAAAAGCATTAAGGGAGCATTTACAGGTTCCCATGGGATTCCGTAGTGCGATTGGTAATCTGGGTAAATCGCTATATAGTCTTGGAATGCTTGTAAAGAACATGTAGGGTGAATCGCTCCCACGATCTCTTCACCCCACTCCCTGTCTCTCACAATCGGGGAGTTTTGACATAGCCCTCCTCAGGAGAAGCAGCCGTCCCACAAGCGGGTAGCGGGTGAGATTGACAGTTGGGTTCACTTAACACTTGCAAGACAAGGGCTACCCATGCACTTCGACAGCATCCAGGCATCTCTTCCCGTCTGTAGGCTTATGGACCAGCAATCGGGAGGCTCAGGAAACAATCTCAGTTCTTGAATTTGTTAACAGCATTCCAGACTCTAGCGACCTACTCAGGTTCCCAATCAGATTCCCATGAGAACATAAGACTCTTCCCCAGTAAAAACTCAATTTTAGTGCATGACAGCAACAGCAACATCCTCACGACCTTAATACCACATATTTCAAGCAGGTCATGGTGATAGTGGAGAAATACAATTGAACAGAGTGAACTCGGAACTGGGCGACAACTGGCAAAAATCGGGACTGGACATCTATCACAATGGTCGAATAACAGTCAAAATGCTACATAAGACGTAGGAAATCGTCCAGTTTTATAATCTGCTCCTTGTTCTGATATCACATGTCCTATCAGCCAATCATCTCCTAGTCGATCTTCAACTACCACACATTCACCAGCACGAACCTAAAATCAAAATGGTTGGAATTTCACGGAGAATATGATGCTGCTTTGAACTTACTTGGATCTCATCATCGTGTTTCGGTTCAAAGTCATACAGTACCCTGCAGAGTGTCGAATGAGTCGCAGGTTCATCGATTACGGTAGTTTGACGTGATGACGAATTATAGAAGCCTTCATCGGAAATCTGAAGGGCAACAGAGATGTCCTACGGAATGAGGATCTGCTCCAGAAAGTCGCCTTACTTTATCATACTCCTCATACTCTTCACAACTGGACCGCGGGGACGTGACCGACACCGAGTAGGCGCCAGTATTGGAGGCGATCGACGGTGGCGGAAGGGATTGATCCTCACCGGCTAGAGGAATCGTGAGCACCGTAGTTGGTAAACCCTAAAAACGATGGTCCCTGAGCTTCTTTGACTACAGTAGTAACCGATTGGTGGCTGACAAACCGCTTTATCTTTTGTCTTATGCTGGAACCGAACCAGTCGATGGTAACCACGATGTTGGCCGCCATCCAATGCATTGATTGCGTCATTAATTTTGTAGAACAAGTACTCCAGGAATTCTACCAGGGTCTGAAAATGAGTTACCGTAACCATGCTGTTGCTATTGCTCATTGCGGTTGATATAAGATGGACATACAATTTGTCTAGTATTGCATATCTGGGTATCGGCACGTCCTTGGGCGTACATCCGCTGCAGTTCACCGTCCAGCATGTTTGAAATACGCATCAGAGCCGCTCGTCGTCGTGAACCACACATTACTTCACCAAAGTTTTCGGCCTGAAAATCGAAAATCACATCTATGACGTCGCAGTTTTCTTTCTTGCTAGCACAGTGCTTTTACTATGAGCTTTTCAGTACGATTAAACTCAGAGCTTGGCATCCTGACCATTCAGGGAGTGAAAGAGGTGAAGTTGGTCAGAACGGAAGTTACAAACACGAAGAACAGAGCGAATCTCTAAGGTCTATGACCAGTCGTTCACAGGATTTAATAGGATTTTTTATCAGTGCTTTATGTGCAGCCAGGCTTGCTGAATAGAATGCCCTGCGTAGAGGAATAACGATGTGCATCTTGCCGTTGTGGTAAATAACTTCATTATGTCAGTACAATTCTGAGTAGAGGTCGAATGCGGGGCGCATCCCGAAACGGGATCGTCCAACACCAAAGACTCTATCCTCTTATGGTTAGATAGCTTTTTTAATACATTATTTCAGAACGCTGGATTACATAGTGTATTGGATGTAAACAAATGAATGGATAAGTAGATAAATATGATAGAATAGAACGCAATAAAAAGCTATCAATGGTATAGAGTATTATGCAATCAACCACTTGCCAATTCTGCCAGAAGTCGAATACGTGGCCTCTCCCAGAATGTTGATATGCGTCCATGAATCCTTTTTCAATGGCTTGGGCTATCCACTTTTCCCATTCTCAATGGCCAGGTCCATTATCCACTACGACCTCTACTCGGAAAACGCTACCTCGCAACTCTGTTCCCTTCTACCCAAGGTCGTCTTCGGTCATGAACGGCGCCGCCACCGCCGCCCTGCGTTCCCAACAAAGGATCAACCGATCAATTCTATCAACCAGTTCTTCGTCGTAGTTAGTATAACCTATAGCCTACAGTTTACGATAGTCGATAGTTAGAAGTAAATTAATCGAATTCACACTGTCGAATGAACGAGAAAACCCTTATGGCTCATTGTGTATGTCGCTTCTTTTATTTCTCGCTTAGCCCTCTGCATCAAATTCATCATGACTCGGTTATCTAACAGCGTTAATCAGCGTATAATTTTGAAAATTTACTCGTGTAATACTTTTTTGTCATTTACCATTTTTGGCCAACAAAACTTTCCATCAATTCGGTGTTGTTCAGGTGAAAGATACTCACATCACTACGATTTTGAGGGAAAGTCGATAGTGTAGAAGAGAGTTTTCATCATAAAACTGGATTAGTTGTAAAAAACTTCGAGATTCCATTTTTTTAACAACTTATCAGTTTTATGACGGAAACTCTCCTCTAGTATTGGAGTAGAATCCTTTTGCTGAGATGTCCTGGTTAGACTTAGATCTTTTGTAACTCGTGAGTAAGACGTCGCTTTGAAGACACTAAAGCCCGATTTCAAAATAGAACAGACTTCATAAAATTCTGCTCACTTTTTAATTATTCTTGAATCTCGGAATAAATATCTATCGCAACGGGAATCCCCACAAAATAGTGGGTGAATAGAGAAGGGATTGAAATAACAGTAAACTGAAAATGCCGATCTTTCCAATGTGAAGTTTTTAATTACGAATTTTGTCAACGCATAAAACTATCGATCGATTGATTGCTCGTCTAGACTGACGATAGCATTTCATATGTTTATTTTTTTAGTTTGTGTATGCATAGTTGTTCCTAGTTGAACGAAATTACGATCTACATGAAAAAATCCGCATCGTCCCGAACTTGAAATGAGTCTTCCCTGTATTCAAACGGTGAAAAGAAAAACTGGCTATCCTCCCGAAGTATTTACGAGTACGACCAAGAATGATATAGTATCACGCCAGCTGATATAATTTCAGAATCTCCACGTGCCCTCGATAAAGCTCGCCATTATTGTTGAAATATTTTTATTGATTAACTCCACACAAGGTTGGCAAATTATTCCAAAATCTATCACTGATACGCTTACTCACTTGTTGAATGTCCAATCTATTGCGCATTCTGAAGGAATCATTCATGTCGGTGCATATTACCAATGTTTTCGCTTTCATTTGAAGGAATAAAGTTCCGTTAGGTCAGCTCTCGATGACATTTTTTTCTAACTGTCTGGTTCAGTTTGAAAAAACTTTCCGAACCAATAATCCCACGAGATAAGCGGCAAATGGGTAATACAGAATAAAAAAGCGCTTTCAAATAGATTTCATAAAGAGCTTTAAAAAAAAAGAGCTTTCGAAAACTATGAAATGAAGCGCTTCTTAGGTAAACCCACGCATTTGCATTCTATTCAGAACCATAGTGGGATCCTGAATGCCTATACATACAAACACGGGCGGTGACCAGCTTATGTACGAGATTGTGCTTTTAAACACCCATAGGAATCTGGCACGAAGTAAAAACTCCCAAGTGGTGAAAAGGTTGGTTGGTTGGTCGAGTATTGGCCCGGCATCCGATCTGACTATGAGTGATGGTGCGTATTTCCTACCACATCATTTCCCATGTAACCTCCGTTTAAACTTCATTAAAAAGTCAAAAAAGGTATTCAGATTTCAGAACCCGTCAGACTTGGCCGTGAAGTGCGCCGAAAATGGCGCGTGCCAATGGATTTTGGCATTCACGAAAAAAGCTGGCCACCATGTGTATCAGTATGATATTTTTCATAGTAGCAATCGACTATCGTAAACGGAAAATGATTGAGGCAGAAGGAAATGAGCGAAAGGTTGGTGAAGACTTGTTGATCTTTGCCTGTTTGTTATATCAATCAATATGTATCTATAGGATGTCAAAAGCGATTTCATGGAAGATATCGACTACGCACTGGAAACGATGCGATACATGTATGACATGCAGAGAGGCAAAGCTGCAATTAGGGACGTTGTTGAAAAGGTAGAGGTTCGCCCTCGTTTTCCCATACAAAGACCATTATTTTTAAAGTAACAGGAGATCGCCATTTTTGTAGATGCAGTAGAGGGTTTACTGACCCATGCCGATCTGCTAAAACGTCTTTAGGGGTACCCCATAGCCTAACGGTACCAGACTATGTACCTTGAGACTGGATTCCAAAGCACCTGTCAGGGTTTGCTGTGGTGCCATCAAGCTGGAAAACGTCCAACAGTTCTTTCTCCATTTCCCGATCATATTGGCACGTATTTGGTCTTCCCCTTCATTTTCTCCTTTCCTCTAGTAGTCCTGGCGACCGTTACCAGCTATTCTATAGATTGTACGAACAATTCCTGGAAAGCGAGGTGAAAGGCGAGATTCGCTTCTCTCTGAAGGACAAGGATAATGGAAAAGAAAAAGAATACTAATTTCTAGAAGAAAAGGACCTTATTTTTGAAATTAAAAATAGTTTTTGAGATCAATCTTCATATCCCAACCAAATTACTACGATAAATCGGTGAAATTCTTTTCTCCTTTGAGTTTTTCTTCCTTCTCTACGCCTTGTAAATCCCTAGCATAGAACCGCTGCTTTTGGTGCTCTTGGATTTTCTTTTACCTCAAGCCTGATCATTAATTGGCTTATTACAGGAGCAACTTGTAGTGGAGTACTACTGGCGGTGTCGTATGGATCGATTCCAATCGATAAGCACCAAAGAATGGACGGAGAACGATGGACTTTACATATATACAGCCTATCTAGACACACGGAAGAATTCACTTTATCCGCGGAACAATGCTATACAGGTCCTAAGCAGAACTACAAAAGATTACGGTAGATTAGAGTACAAATGGCAATAAATTTAGGTACTCGCCATACACTTTCGAACACTACGCCATAAGGTATACTGTAACATTTTCGACGAGAACCGTTATGCTGTTGTCGAGGGTTACGTGCGGGAAATCTGGCAACGAGGATGGGATCCAAGGTATTTTTTCGATTGGGTCATAGACGCAGAGACGCCTCCACTCTCTTCGCTCTGTTTCTTACTCTTTTTCTTTCAGGGACCATTTCTACATCCCGAACCTGATAACATGCCCTATACCGAGAAGATTCGATTCATCCAAAAATCTCTTTGTATCAATAACCCGTGAACCATGCAGCGCGCAACGCGTCGCGGTGCGTGTGCGTATCAGCCAATCGATGGCGGAGAAGGAAGCGGTCGCTATATGCGTCAAGGGCATGGATTTTCAGGTACCTTCGCCAAAACCACCATTCAAACTCTAACTTATAAGCTGTTGTTGATCGATAGACGAACTTCGACATAGAATTCATCCTGATCCCAAATTCAGGAAGACGTCTCCTTGCGACTTGTAGAATGGCTTGAAGCTCAATATCTACTTGGCGTTTCTACAGTAACCACATACGTATACACTGTCCCAAAGAACGTTCAAAAAGTGTTAGGCTACTATGAGAAGTTAGGAAAGCTCGTACAGGTGAGACCCATAGATTCAATCAACATATCGATTTTTTGTGCGATCAATAAGTTACTCATTAAACGACAGAGCTAACTGATCTAGGAATTAAGTCCGAGCACAGTGTCGGGAGCATGGCTTAAACTAATCTTTTGGGCGATAACAAATCAACCACTCAACACAGGCATCTAATCGATTATTGATTTCAGATTCCTCTCACATTACCAGGCCACTCACCGAACCTGCCTTTAGTACGCAGTCAATACATTGCGAGGAATCGGCAACAAAAACGTCGTCATGAATTGATACCCTACAATGACTGCCTATACAGGTCAGTCTGGTAGTATCCCAAACAAGCCCAGGTTGTGTTACAGAGTTCGTGGCAGTAGTCATATTTGCGATCGAGTTCGAACAATGAATCGGTGAACTTTCATAAAATTTAACAAAATATTAGGGGTTCGGCGGTTTCAAAGTACCATGTTCCATCCTCTGTCCCCCCCNCCCCCCCCCCCCCCCCTCCCTCTACCCCTTTCCTGAACCGTTGATTGTTGCGGGTTGAATTTAATGTACAGCAATTATTTACAAGGTTAAGAAAGTGAATGTGCGAAATTTCTAACAGAGAACACACGAACAGTTCTTGCCCGTTTCCGGTTCCGTTCTCGTCAGGGATCGTACGACTTTTGCGATACCATACATTCACATACAAAAACAGACAAAGATAGTAGTCATTCACCAATGAGAATGGAATCTAACTTTGTCATAATTTGGGAAGTAACAAGCTCGACCTAGCAATTACTATTCGAATGTAATACCTGACCCCTTCTCCCCTTTTTTTGGTTAATTCATTCGGAATTAGAGGAAGATCCATTTACTGTGGCTATGAAAACTCAGTATCGATCCAAAGCTTTGCCATAGTCTCAATGATGCTCCTACCTAATACTGGTCGCAAAACAAAGTAAAATTCCAGGTACAAGCCGCGTTACGGTACAGTGGTATAAATTATATAGGGATTACGGTAAGATGCCGAGTCCCAATCAGTCCTTAGTCCTTGTTCGAAATCGTCGGAAAAAAATTGACATGAAATTCTCAAAAATCAGATGAGCAAGAAAAAAAAAGCGTCAAAAAA